CTTCTCGCTTCTTTGCAATATGGGCTCATTCATCTACAGTGTGCCTGAAAATTCTGAATAGGGAGTCATTACAGAAATTTTAATCTTTGAATATCAGTATGATGGTACCTCACTTGTTTTTCTATTTTTAATAGCAAAGACAGTTAGAATTATCTCATGCTGCATAGGCTGTTTACTTAACAGTATTCAGAAACTTTCATATTGCTATGATATTTCATGGATACTTTCTTGAATCATTGATCCAATTTTATTCGATCATTAAATTATTTAGCTATGGTTAAACTATAATATTTAATAATTTCTGCTTTATTAGGATATTTTTTGAATCATTGACCCAGTTTTATTCACTATTATCTTATTTTCATAAGTTAAACTATAGTAGATAATAATTCCTACTTTATTAATTTACATTGTTAAGAATTAATTTTAAAATGTAGTATCATTTCTCGGCACAGTAACCGTTTCGAAGTTCGGCTGAAATTAAACGATTCACTGATCACCTCCATAACAGGATATCAAACTGTTTTTAAAAATAAAAATAAAACTAATAAGATTTAGTCCCTTTCAATTGCATTAAGAGTTTTATTATGAAATCTCTACTTTCTCTTGCAGAGTTAGCCGCCCTTAGTTGATGAGACGAATCAATATGAGCAATGAAATACATATAAAACAGAAAAAAGGAAAAGATCATAATATTTTTATGCACAAGTTATACATCAAATAATAAAGTAATATTGCTAAGAAACGAATAAACTGCTGTTACTATAAAATCGCTCTCTTATTTGCCTGTCTTTATAGGTCAACAAAATGGAAAGCTCCTTTAGAAGATTCAGTGACAAATCGGATATACTAACAATACAGGCTTTGTTGGCAACGTGGAATAAAAATTCCCAATCATATATTTTTCTTCTCTTAATATTTAAGGAAGAATATATATCACGCCTGGATGGTCTACAAAGCGTTTAAGCAATAAAGAGACAGCAACAATAACTACCTCATCGAAAGCTCACAATTCAGTTCAGAAGAGCTTTCAAGAAAGTATTCCTTGAGAAGTACACATTTTGTACATTATTTTTTCAGTACTTTCGTACTGTATCTTTCACACGTTTTATAAAAGATTCTTTTAGCATTTGAAAAGAAAGATGAGTGAGAAAACACATGAGAAAAACTATGTTAGGTTTATTTTTCCGGTTTAATTATTCTAGATTTACTTTTATCAGCATCTTCTTTTTAAAATTTTCGAATGCTCTTTTCGTACTCGAAGCATAGCTTCTAAGCGTGAAACGAGTTATGAAGTTTGTGAAATATTAATGTCTTCTCAGAATGATACGTATGAAGTTTATCTCCTTCCTGTATATTTTAAATTCATTTTTTCTTATGAAATTTTACTATACAAGAGCAAATACATTTTTATTATTGGATTTCGTTTCTTATAGTTTCGTGATTTATATACTTTTCTCAAAATCTTATGATGTAAAGATCATTGAACTCTTTTCACATTTTAATTTATAATTATTTAAATAAAAAAGATTAAAATAATGATAATAATAGGCAAAAAACTTTTAGAAATTATTTAGTAAAGATAACTAAACCCTATATACGTCATTTATTATCTAAATATCGTAATATAACTTGTAATATCTAACTTGTAATATCGTAATATGTACAGTAATCAAGACCTCTTTTTTGTTGTATGTATTTAGTTCTGGGTTTTAGAAATGCATCACTGTATTAGATCTTAACATCTTTAGTATCTGCGTGATAACAGCTACAGTTAACAAACAAGATTGCTTTATTCTGGATATCCTGAGCAGTTCGTTTTCCGATTTTTATGGTTTCAGGCCACAACTATTTCTAATTATGAAGCAAACGTTTCAGTGAAACTTCAGATACGGCACTTAATATTTGCAGTGAATACCTTGGCTTCATATATATATCTGCTTTTAATAAGATTAAATATTCATTTTAGATATTTTAATTGAACACCCTATATTAGACAGCATTATTTTTAAACTAATTTATTTCGAGTTCTACTCTTTTTTTTCAATTAAAAGTGTAGCTTATTCTAAAAGGCCTCGGCTATTTGTAACCAGCCTCGGTAGTAATAAAACAAATTATGTTTTTAGTAATCATCCGATAAGAATGCGTATTGTGTGACTCCCCCACCTCCAAATAAAGAGATTAAAACCGATTATCATGTGCATTTGTACATCTGAAGAGAAAACGTTTAATAAATACGATAATTCATTTTATGTCAAGTTTTAATTATAGGTTAGTTTTTTAATGAGTAACTCGGACTTAGTGATGCCAGGAAGCTTCATTAAAGTTAAATAAGTTTTTAGCCGACTTTTAACGATTATAAAAATTATTTTCTCTTAAATTCACTATTTTTTCATCAATCTGAGAGAATCCAGTTGAACCGCTTATATCCAGCGTCATAAAAATTATTTGAAATTCTTCCTTCTTGAGAAATCTTGCATATAAAATACTTAAAACTTTCTCTCTTAAGCTTTTCATAATATATCTAAACTTCTTTCGTATTATATATCCATCTCTGTAAGAGTGCTTAAGCAGAAGGTAATAATTATCATTTTAGTGCAGAACAGAATTAGTGAAATTTTCCTTGATTTATCTAGATATTTTAGCTTAAACGATGCATGAATGTCTTCTAAATGCATAAATTCATGCTTCTCAGTTCATCTAAAATTATATATTAAAATTTTTAAGAGGCCGTAATGACAGCATTTGCACATATTTTATCAAAAAATTATGCAAAGGAAATTATCCTTTAGTTTGTCTTAAATGTTGAAGTTAATACAGATATGAGTTAAATCTGAAATTAAATTTTCTAAACATTCAGTAATTCTCTTTCTTCCTTCACGAAAATAGGACTAAAATGAATTAACTAGACGATTACAAGTATATGTGCATATTAGTTGGTAGATAATTTTTAACTCAAGTCCAATGTATAGCGATAATACTACTCTACTGATGCTAACATACACTTATAAATTTTGCAAAAAGGAACACAGAAATCTTAGATGCATGTCCGCTTCATTTTAGTTTATCTATATTTGGAGTCACGGATCTGATAAATTTATCATACGCAACAAGTATTTAAATTTTTATTTTGAGAAATTTTGTTTTATTTTTATAATTTTGGACGGAAAGGACTTTAAAATTCTTCTCTTACATAAAACCTTGAAGCCTTTATCATTTATAACAATGTTAACTGCAAAAAGAAAGCACAATCTTAATAATATTCTATATAATTTCATTTTCACAAACATTTTGAAACAATATTTAAATGAACTTCAATTATTCAAATTACTAAATGTAAAATATGAGTCAACTTAAAACTTAATTTTATTTGTATTTTAAGCTGAAATTCCAAGTTCCATTTATCTAAAGTAATTCGGAAATTTTGGAAACATTAGAATCATTTAATTGCGAAAGATAATTATTTTAACTATTTTTCTTGATAGACAAATATTATAAAGCAGTACATTTGGTAAGTAGCGTATATTGAACTCCCAATAAAAGCATTTCTTAAAAAGATTTGGAAAATTATTTTAAAATAAAATGCTAATTTGTTATAAAAAATTAAAAAAAAGGTATGAAAGACAACACAAAATTTAATAACTTGCAAAATCCAATCTTTATGTAGCACTGGTTTTAATGAAAAGAGGTTGAAGCATTTATGTGAAAAAGAGCATGGATCTTCTTCACGAATAAATTAAATTAGCAGAATAGTTTTCTCTAGGAAAAAAGTATTCAAACGATTTTGTTTTAATGAACAGGTTGTTTCTTGCTGGAATTGGTCGTTGTGAAGCATTACAGGTATTTTGCTTTATTAAAGTTTTTTCGTTTTCGAATTTCAATATTCTTCATTTTATTCTTTTCAAATTAAACTGAAAATCCTTTCCTTCTATTTAAGTAATAAGTTGAATAATATTTTGCTTCCTGTTTCATTTATATAGAATAATTAAACTGAAATTGTCTCAATAATGCATAAGTTTATATGAAAGTATGTTTCCACTCAATCTTCATAAAAAATAATGACCCAATGTTCTTATCTTTAAAATTTAATCTTGTATTAATATCTATGAATAATTTATACTGGTATTTAAATTATGCGGATATATTCTACAAATTTTAGAGTGCACACAGTTTATTTTTTATGCATTTTTATTAAAGCAAACATGGCTAAACCTTTTACAATAATAATAATTTTATAGCTCTCAAAATATCTCTAAAAGGATTTATCAGGTTATTTTTCTGCTTTCTTTAGAAAATACTGAAGGAATAGTTCTACAAAATCTGTTATAGCGAATAAAACCTACCTTAAGAATGAGGTTCAGATCACTTTTACAAAGTTCAGCATGACCTTGAAATGCGTTTACTTATCGTCTTTTCATGTGCAACTGTTTTTCACTTAGATTTTTTTCATGATATTCATTAATTAAATTTACAACATTCATGCTCTCCTGAAAACGGAATTCCTGCTACCTTTCCCCGGTGAAAGGAAGCGGGAGATTCCTTTTACGGTGAAACTTTAAGCATCCCTTGGCATTTGTCATCACCCATGTGATTGAAATGAAGCACTTTCTTTACTTCACATGTCTTAAAAGAATGCTAATACCTTGAAATTCTGTTAATCTGCCCATATTCTTTTTTCCAGCCTATTCTTTATAAATTATGTAAAATTATACAATTTTTATATATCATATTTATGTAAGCAAGCATGCAGCCAAAGCTCATTTGAGAATTTCTTCCCTTTCACCTTTGACAACTGAGTCATGATAATATCCAAACAAAGCATAAATTAATTTCCAAATATCCACCTTTCTAGAAGATGTTTTTCTAAAAATTACGAGCAAAATGAGATTATTGGTAAACTATTATTCATTAAACTGAGAAAATTAAAAGTGAAAAAAGCGTAAATATGCATTTTGTTTTAATTAAGAAAAGCGCTAAGTTGCATCAAATTCTAAACTTACCCATTATTTAAAATAAGTATTCCATGCTTGTTTGGAAGCTATGATAATATTTCCTCGCTCTGCTAAGTGATGTGTGTGCATCATAGCATCATTATGTTCCGCTTCCTTTCAAACATGAGCATGAAATGAAAATTTTCGTGTGTGCATCGGATAACAACTGTTTTTCTAAAGACTAAACGTCGAGCAGGAGCGCTGGATCCTGCGCTGGGGATCCACACCAATCTCCGTAGAATGCCAGCAAAGGAATGCACTCCAACTTAAATGCAGAACAATGTGTCAAGAGTCTCGCAGAGAAAGGGCGCTAGGGCTAGCATCCAAGCCGGGCGTTCTCTTCCAACTGCCGATCTAGTTCTACAGATCGATGCAAGCGCCGGCACTATTGGAAGCGCCGGCATGCTCTGCTGTTGCCATTGATGCAGTGGGAAAACGCCTCGGTCTAAGCGCTAAAAAAGAATTAAAAAAATTTTAAGGGGCAAGATAATTTCAACACGTTGTCCAAAGCAAGTTTTCGTCTTGCAGCTGGTGAGAAGAAAGTTTCTTATCTTCAAAATAAAGGTTGACTTTGCTAAATTTCTGAAAAATGGGAAGCCAGAAAAACTTGCAATCTGCGTCAACGCTTTATAATTACTTTAAAAAATTAAAAAATATTTTGAAGTTCCGGAATAAATAAGAAACAAATTTTAAAAAAATAATCCTCCTAAATTAGGTTTTCTAAAAAATGGGAATCAAACGATAAATTAAATTTTTAAATGTTCTTGTTAAAAATCTTTGATTTATTTTCATGCGCTTTTACCATTCTTCTGTTCTAAACTTTTCTGTCTTGTCTTTTGAAATGGTGCTTTTTCCTTGTAATTCAAAATTATAATTGAAATGGGCAGCTAAAATATTTGAAACAAATGATGAAATTAAGCAACTGAAGAACTAGAATTAAAAATTATGGATTTGTCATACTCAAAACGTTTTGAGACAGCTTTAGAGAAATGCTTATCATCAGACTAAATGTTTTAAAAGATGGATTACTTGTAAAATGAAAAGAGAAGTTACAAGAATTTTATGCAGTATTTTTATGAACATTTTTATGCTTGGTATAAAACGGTTTATGCTTTTTGTAGCTTGCTTGTTTTATAAGTTTGTGTAATCTTTTCGAACCTCATAGTAGCGTCGTAAGGAACAATTGAAGGAAAGAAATTTGGAATTGTAAAGCAAAAATAAATACATATGCAGACTACTTTTGGGAATATTTAATTTATTGACACCCTTAACGCATTTTAATCTCACATCAATATGGCAAAACAATTCTGCTTAATTACTCTGAATAATAAAAGCCAATTAAAAGAAGGTATCATGCATTTTTATATTCCTTGTGCAGCGTTCAGTTTCTGCCACGTCTCGCTTTCTATGCAGTGAAAATATAGTTAGTATATTCCAATTATAGTTTCTAGACAATAGTTGGTGTATTTAATTATGGCAAAGCACACGAGGGCTATCTGCCTAAAGGGAGGGATGCCTTTCGTGGAGGACTTTCTAAGGGAAACTGGCTCGTATACACGTTACACATGGGGAAAACCACGAAAACGCCCATGCAGCCAGCCCGTCCGCGGGGTTTCTAGACAATAAAAATTGAGTAACTCCGTTACCCATAAAACTAAACTTAATCATCAAATTCTCTTATTCACACAGGTTTCTTATGAGAAATATTAAGTTCAAGGATTTTAAGCAGAATTGTGTAAGAAGAGTATAAAATTATTTCAAAACGTTTTAAGGGCACAACTGAAAAAGCCTGAATATTAAAATACGAATTTTTATCACAAAGGCTTCATTCAAATTTCATTTTATGTAAATAAGGATTATGTGTAAATAAAATTCTGTTATTCAAAATTCAAAAGTTTTAAAATGTTCCTCTGAAGAGAACTTCTAAAAATGTTCCTTTAATGCATTAACTAACCAAATATTAAATTTTATAATTCATATTGATTAGAGTTATGAAATTTGAAAAGTGCTTTAAATACTTTAGAATATTACATTACAATATTATTATTAGCATTTTTATATTCTGGATTCAAACAAATGCTCTGTAGTTTCTGTGAAATTACAAATGAGTCCATAAAATAGTAATAAAATAAATAGTGTTTGAAGCCTTTCTGAATAAAGAGGCTTTTGGGAACTGCAGTAAATTTATAGCTATAAAATAATTGAGAACTTGGAATAATGGTGAAGCAAAATGCCTCCTCTGATTATGAATTTAGAAATCTAATTGCTTTTTCCTTTCAAATCTTAATCAGACGTATTTAAAATATAACTCTTTATTACTCAGGGATTTACACAGGAAAATATCTTTTCTTTCGTCATATGGTATTTATTTCATTTGAAATGCTTAAGCTAAAATATAATAAAATCATTTAGAGTTAAATTCATTATTAAAATGAACAAGTGTAAGAAAACATATTTTTAATTTTAACTTTAAAGTCTGCTTAATAATACTAAATTTGAGCTTAATGAATCGTAATTTACAAATTCTATCTTTTAAAAAATTTCAAAAGAATTCATTTTAATATGCACTCGATAGGACTTTTAAAGGGCAAGACACTGTTGAAGTAACAAATATTGTAGAATGAATGTAATTTCTTTTTTCGTCTAACCAAATACGAGATTAATATACTAGATTGTGTTATGATTTTATTTAAGTTAACGGAATATTTTAAAATACACTTATAGAAATACCAGACAGTAACTTTTGGCATTACATTTTAAGGGTGGTTAAAGTTTTCTAAATCAAATAGCTTTTCGAGAGTATCGTTTTACTGCAGCTCTTGCAGACTACAGTCATAAATTTTATATAAAAAACTACAAAATAGTAAGGAAGATCTTAACAACTGAAGCCCATAGATTCCAAGCTTTTAATCTACGTCAAAAATCAGTAATTTCTCAAACGAAGGCTTGTATAATAGCGTTATTTTTCAACCACCATCTCAAATTTGTTTGTGATTTTCCTTTGCACTTTCAAAATTAATTAACTACGAATTGAAAATTAATCAATGTATTTGCAACATTATTGACCTGAAATACGAAAATTGGAAGCCTTTTTTCCGGGAATAGTCCAGTCTCCAGATTAAGCTGAAACAAAACAAAATAAAATGAATACTTTAAAAGTAACTGAAGGTAATTTTCTAAACTTTGCTTTTAATGTAAAATAAATTTTACTTTTAAAAACTGGCAGTTTATCTAAAGACTAATATACTTCTCTTAAGCAAATTAATTTTTGAATAGCTGAGAAGATTTAGGGTCTTGCTATCGCACCACAAGTACCTGCACATTAATTTTAAAGGCAGAATGAGTCATAAACCTAAAGCGGTATTAGGCGTTATTTAGCCACTCGCAAGACAATTATCTTATGACAAATTCATCCTTGTCAAAAGAAAAAAGTATACAGGTTAAAGAATGATTTTCCTTTGCTTAACTGTTCAACAGATAAAATCTCCTAGTAAGGAGGAAAAAGGTCATGAACAATTTATTTTTTCTCTTAGATACAGATATTTCAAGCAGCTTGTCAATAACCAGTAATAACTCTCTGATCAAAGCATGTGATATAAAGGAAAATTAAACTTGTACATACAGTTTCACTATTTTTGGAAGGATTGCGATAAAATATTATGCAGCATTAGTGCATTAACATACATAATCGGTTAAAATCAAATATATTTGCTTTAAAACAGAGTAAGAGCAAAAGCATTCTGTGTCTTTTTTTTTAAAACACCAAAATCACTTTAGATCTTTAAATATTATAAAAGGCGTAAATATTTTTATAAATTCATTTTAGTGCGGGAAACATCTTCCCTCTTTTTATGTATGGTAGAAACTTGTTTTGTTTAGTTGCCTTTACAGATAAGTAGGCTTAATCTACTTTCAAGGAATTTTTGCTTCAATCAGGGTCAGGTCTTAAATATCTGTGATATGAAACAACTAAATTTATTTTACAGATTTTTACTAGTCAACAGACTGAAAGTAAATAGAAGTACAGTTGCAGTTTACAGTTTCAATCAAACAATCTACAAATACTTGTATATTTACAACAGTAACTTAACATCTTGAGAAAAGCCTATTTGGCTCCCATCTTTTAGTAAACTAAATATATTAATCAAAATACACTAACTTAACCCGAATGAATATCACTTTGCTATTGAGTTTTGACAGCTTTCTACTGAGTTTTGACACCAGCTGAACTCGGGGAAAAAAACCTCTTTCAACAGTTTACGCATTAGGCTAAAAGCAAGAACTGGTATCTCAAATCTACTGCAGTTAATTCATTTAAATTGCCCTCAGGATCACTGCTTACTTTCTTTTATTAAAACTTAAGTTTACATGTTTTTGAACAACTAAGCAAAAACTGAAAGGAAGCGTAATTAGAAGAAAACATTATAGAAAGGCTCACTCTCGGCAAAATAAAAAAATATACAAACAAGCTGGAAAAGTAATTTAACTCAAAAATAGGAATGTTAGTATTGTATATTACAACTGATTCCGTGGGCCAAAGCATACTTGATGTCTCTTCACCCTTTTTCAATATAAAGTTATCAGATACGATTATAGGATTTCTCGAAAGTCTGATCACGAATTTATTAGTTTATCTGTTTTTACTGTACCAGTGACATATCATTAGAAGAATTCGCTTAATTTAAGCTTCTGCACAAAGAGTTGTTCCTTATCGTATTATAGATGTTTTTGTAATAATTTCTTTACGAATATTTTTAGTGACGAGGAAATTTTGTTCGGTGAGTTATTAAAAGTTGAAGTAAGTTTATGTAAGATTTTTAAAGCGAAGCTCAAAAGTATGCTTTCAATTAAATGGAAGCATAATACTTTATGAGAAGCCCACCAGCGGCCGAGCGGTAAAGTCGCTGAACACTGGTAGTTCGATTCGAGGTTCGAATCCCGCGAACGGGCTGGCTGCATGGGTGTTTTCGTGGTTTTCCCCATTTGTAACGTGTATACGAGCCAGTTTCCCTTAGAAAGTCTTCCACGAAGGCATCCCTCCCCTTAGGCAGATAGCCCTCGAGGCTTTGCCGTAATTAAATAACCTAATCTAACCTTTACGAGAAACGTAAAAGAAAAAGGAAATCTACAGAGGTTTTCGCTAGTTGATTTTATAGTCTTTTATGTTTTGATCGCTTACTCATAATATTCAGTCTAGTAACCGAGAAAAGGTTTCAGAAATATTCTTTGATATTACTACTGCTGCACTTACTTGATGCTACAGTATGTGCTTTTTCTAAACTTCGTGCCAGTAAACAAATACAATCTCTTATTTAATCACAT